GCTATCTTGGGCCAGGGCTGCGGAGTTGTAGTCAGAGCCAGCGGTTCTGTTCCGACTCGGAGACGGTTGATTTTTAAAAGCTTTAGTCTGAGTATGAGTCGAACGTCACCGCAGTCATCGACTCCACAGACTTACCAGGGCTGCAGAGTCGGAGTCAGATTCGGAGTCTGTGTGAATCGACAGTTCTGCCCGGAGGAGTCGGAGTCGATATTTGAATACCGGAATCGGAGTTGGAGCCAAAGTCACTGAAATTTCATCGACTACGCAGCACTGGTTGAGTCCTTTTCATAGAGCGTCTTGAATGGCATATTGAGCGGCAATGTCTGTAGCAATTCCGTTTAACTTTTTCATTATACTTATAGATAGTACTTACGTTCGTTTTGTTCTTTGATCGGACAATTTGTTTGATTTAGGCCAAGTAGGTAAAGACTCATGTGAAAAATAAGCGAAAACTACACGTGCTGGCGAAGTCTGCAATAACTCCCTGTTTCACGATTTAATGAGGAAATAACATGGAACTGCTTATTTTATTACTGACCCTGCACATAAATCTATTAATTTCTTCGCCTTTACTGACATATAAAGACATAACCTGTTGAAAAATTGCACAACAAGCCTGCTACTACACCACACTCCCGTGTGTCACAATGCTAATCAGCGGCGTTCACTCGGCTTGCTCCTAACTTACGACAATTCTCCCGCTAGATGGCAGGCCTGAGCTCAATGTCGCCAAAAACTGCGAAGACACCAATCCATTATTATCTCATCCATGGTTTCCCTTTTATGATAGAGTGAAATTCGTTGTATTGTGGGTTATATTGTTTTGTCTGTAAGTTTAAAGTTTTAATATTTAAGTTCTTTTTTTGCGTTGCAAGTTATGGTGTGATTTGGTTAGATGGATATCATGATGTTAGAAAATGACCTTATGCTCATAATACAATGAAATGATATTAAAATAAGTCCAAAAAGTATTATGATATATTTCGACTTTCGTCTTCTTCAGAATATAGGTACATTTTCTAACATCATAATATTCATAATTATGCTCAAACTAGCCATAGCTCACCTTCAACGAATCGAACAAGACTTTGTTTAGATGGTTTTGCTTTACAATTGCGAAGAAATAACTAAATCGTCTGCGCTGTCGTTCCCATGGTTTGTCATTTGATAGAAGACTGCTTATTGCCGGCAACAAGCCCTATGGACGTTGCATGGAAAGAATGGGACCAAAAGTCGGCAGTGTCCCCGCCCCTTAATTGAAGGTGTTCCGCCGCTACTGCACCTTTCCAGATCTTTGTGTCATCAGGGAGCTCGACGATGATGATGCGGTCGATACTTTAGATGCGCTGTCGTCTGGTTCAATTTCAGTCTCTGAAGTGTTATTGACGGCAGCAAGTCGTTTGATAACAGCATCTTTGGTTCCTGTCGTTTGTAAACCCATTTCTTCAGCAATGTTTGTAACACGTCTTTCGTCTTCGACTTGTATGCTTCCATCTAGTGATGTGAATTACGGAAAATCGTGATACCGAAACCAAACCAAATACCAACAATAACCATGGAAAATAAGGAAACCGAACCGACTTGGGAATATGAGGGAAATACCAACTTTTTGCCAAATTATCATCCTCTTTTACATTAGAGAGGATTCATACTACTAACAAAATACTAACTGCATTCGCCTTAAAATACCAAATACCATGTTGGCATCGGTTTGATATCGGTATACCAAAAAGTTGGTATCCGATTGACATCTCTACTTCCATCCTGCTTACGGAGAAGCAATGCAATGCCTAATGCAATCGCCGGACCGAAGGTTGGAAAGAAAGGAAAAAAGAACTAAAAAATTAAATTAAACATATAAAAAGAAAAGCCCGCAAGCCCGCCGCTCACAATGGCAACACACACGCCGCGGAAAAATAAAAACAATGAAAAGCGCCCGCCTCGTCTCCGCACGCCCGCAGTCAACCGTAAGCAACGCCACCCCAAACGCCAAAATAAAAGAAAAAAGGAACGCTCGCACCACCCGCCGCAAAAGTCATAGCAAACACCGCAAAAAATAAAGATGAACAAAACAAAACAATACCTAAAAAACGGCCGCCCCGCCCGCCATGCACGCCCGCTCCCAATCGCAAAAAAAAAAACGCCTCCGCAAGTGCAATGAAAAAAAACACACCGAACGCCTCCAGCACGCCGGTAACAACGCCACCGCAAACGATCCGAAAAAGCAAAGAAACAACAAAATAAAAGAAGCACAACAAACAACAATTAACATAAAAGAGAAAAAACGCCCGCACCGCACCCCACAGCCCACCTCGGAAGAAAAAAACGTCACCACAAAACGCCACGGAAAGCAAAAATAAAACAAAAGAAAAAAGGAAAAACACCCGCCTGCAGCGCAACGGATGTAAATAGCGTCATACATATTATCTATAGTCACCGTGATACATATTGGTTATGTCGAAAATCTCCTAAAACAGAGGTGCACATAGAACACTTGAAGCCTTGAGGGCAAAAACTCCAAAAATAGCCGTTTTCACGAAGTGTTTTCTCGGCAATAACTTTTGACTCAAAAGAGCCACGACATAACTCTTGCCAGCATCGTGTTCCTCTCGTCGCGTCGAGACGCTTCGAATGCACTATAATTTGACCTTGAAAGGTCAACTTGAAAAGCTGACCTCAGGTCAAGGCCATGACCTGACCGGAAAAGGGTCCTAGCTTGGTTTGTGTATGTGTCTTAAGCCTCTTTAGAAAAATTAACAGAGTGGCAATGAGCTCTCGATCACATTTGACCGTCCTCTGTTCGGACCAGTTGACAGTTATTGTTATTCGTTCACTGTACGGCGAAATTCAATGCTGTATAGCGACCTTTAAGGGAACAACACGTTTTTCATATTTTTATCATTCAATGAATGCGTTGAGAAGACTTTTACTGCAAAAATAAATTGCAAAAAATATGGCCACAATCTAAAAATTTGCTTTTTAGAAATGAATTATATGTAAAAACAGAAAATTTTCTAGAATAATTGATATCACCAAAAATCTTTGTTGAATTCCAAGTGTGGGAATATGCAGTTTTAAATGAATTTATTGTGACTGAAAATGTCACAACACAAATCGCAGGGCTAGATAACCCCCGAGCCGAAATTTCATCAAAATGTGAAAGGTAGGGTGATATTTCGCGATTTTTTTTTTTTTTGGTCGATCTGACGTGGAATGCCCCAGTTATGCGTTGGCTTGTAGCAAATTGTCGACATTTGACCTGAAAATCGCCAAAATTTGGCTTTAATGAAATCTGGTTACCTGACCTTTGACCTGACCAAAAAAGCAACCGCAGTAGTTTCGTTTGACGCTCTTTCGAACGCTGACTTCCGCGTATCGCTATGTGACCCTCGCGGATCCAGCGAACAGCAGCCGGTCAGCGGCAGCCATGCTGCTCCGGCTCAAACAGCCCTCAGTGAGCAGTACAGCAGCCGGTCAGCGGCAGCCGTGCTGCTCCGGCTCTGACACAGCCCTCAGTGAGCAGTACAGCAGCCGGTCAGCGGCAGCCGTGCTGCTCCGGCTCTGACACAGCCCTCAGTGAGCAGTACAGCAGCCGGTCAGCGGCAGCCGTGCTGCTCCGGCTCTGACACAGCTCTCAGTGAGCAGTACAGCAGTCGGTCAGCGGCAGCCGTGCTGCTCCGGCTCTGACACAGCCCTCAGTGAGCAGTACAGCAGCCGGTCAGCGGCAGCTGTGCTGCTCCGGCTCTGACACAGCCCTCAGTGAGCAGTACAGCAGCCGGTCAGCGGCAGCCGTGCTGCTCCGGCTCTGACACAGCCCTCAGTGAGCAGTACAGCAGCCGGTCAGCGGCAGCCGTGCTGCTCCGTCTCTGACACAGCCCTCAGTGAGCAGTACAGCAGCCGGTCAGCGGCAGCCGTGCTGCTCCGGCTCTGACACAGCCCTCAGTGAGCAGTACAGCAGCCGGTTAGCGGCAGCCGTACTGCTCCGGCTCTGACACAGCCCTCAGTGAGCAGTACAGCAGCCGGTCAGCGGCAGCCATGCTGCTCCGTCTCTGACACAGCCCTCAGTGAGCAGTACAGCAGCCGGTCAGCGGCAGCCGTGCTGCTCCGGCTCTGACACAGCCCTCAGTGAGCAGTACAGCAGCCGGTCAGCGGCAGCCGTGCTGCTCCGGCTCACACAGCCCTCAGTGAGCAGTACAGCAGCCGGTCAGCGGCAGCCATGCTGCTCCGGCTCTGACACAGCCCTCAGTGAGCAGTACAGCAGCCGGTCAGCGGCAGCCGTGCTGCTCCGGCTCTGACACAGCCCTCAGTGAGCAGTACAGCAGCCGGTCAGCGGCAGCCGTGCTGCTCCGGCTCTGACACGGCCCTCAGTGAGCAGTACAGCAGCCGGTCAGCGGCAGCCGTGCTGCTCCGGCTCTGACACAGCCCTCAGTGAGCAGTACAGCAGCCGGTCAGCGGCAGCCGTGCTGCTTCGGCTCTGACACAGCCCTCAGTGAGCAGTACAGCAGCCGGTCAGCGGCAGCCGTGCTGCTCCGGCTCAAACAGCCCTCAGTGAGCAGTACAGCAGCCGGTCAGCGGCAGCCATGCTGCTCCGGCTCTGACACATCCCTCAGTGAGCAGTACAGCAGCCGGTCAGCGGCAGCCGTGCTGCTCCGGCTCTCACACAGCCCTCAGTGAGCAGTACAGCAGCCGGTCAGCGGCAGCCGTGCTGCTCCGGCTCTGACACAGCCCTCAGTGAGCAATACAGCAGCCGGTCAGCGGCAGCCGTGCTGCTCCGGCTCTCACACAGCCCTCAGTGAGCAGTACAGCAGCCGGTCAGCGGCAGCCGTGCTGCTCCGGCTCTGACACAGCCCTCAGTGAGCAATACAGCAGCCGGTCAGCGGCAGCCGTGCTGCTCCGGCTCACACAGCCCTCAGTGAGCAATACAGCAGCCGGTCAGCGGCAGCCGTGCTGCTCCGGCTCTGACACAGCTGACAGCCCTCAGTGAGCAGTGGGCGACTCACCGAAGCACTTGCTCTGGTTGGTGGCGCGGTCGATGAACACCTTGGAGGAGATGACGTTGCCGAACGGCAGGAACATCTGCATGAGCTCGGCGTCGCCGAACTCCTGCGGCAGGTGATAGATGAAGAGGTTGCAGCCCTCCGGGCCACTTATACTGCACCCTGGGGGCAGAAACGGACCACTGCAGTCTCTATCGGCCACTCGGAGGGAGGGGGCAGCAGCTGCGGAGGGAGGGAGGGGCAGCAGCTGCGGAGGGAGGGAGGGGGCAGCAGCTGCGGCCTCCATTCGGCAGTCAGACAGGCGCTGCTCCAACGTTCATACTAAAAACGCACTGTGTGCCGCCGATTTTGATGCAAAAAAAAAAACTAGTGAAAACATGACACAATAGATGCATGCAGAAAAAGTTTCCAGCGAACTGAGAAAGAGCAAAGAAATTCAAATTTGGAAGCAGTCCGTACACTGTTAGGCTAAAAAGGGATGCAGTCGGTCGGCCTTATCATAGTGGTCGGTCGGCCCTGTCACAATAGTCGCTCGGCCCTGTCACAATGGTCGGTCAGTACTGTCACAATAGTCGGCCCTGTCACAATGGTCGGTCTGTACCGTCACAATGGTCGGTCAGAACTGCCAGGATAGTCGGCCCGTCACAATGGTCGGTCGGGCCTGTCACAAGTCACGATGGTCGGTCAATGGTCACAATGGTCACAATGGTCAGTCAGCAGTGGCGCGGGAACTACTCTCAGGCTGGGGGGGGGGGGGGTGATACACCCGACACTTCCCGGGGTCGTCCATGATAGAGGTAACCTTAGGGTACCCCAAAATCTAGTTTTCTCACTGGTGCTAGGCCACTTATTTTTCACCCTTTGGGCTAATCAACGATGAGAACAAAACGAAAACATTTGCAAAAGTTAGGTGTTCCGTCTCAGCTGAGTTGAAGAATCACCTTTTTGGTAGCTTGGAATACGGTTTTAACTTTTTAATTATACACTAACAACGCATCCGACCATCGTCCGGACTTTGTCCGATCCCACCCATGCAGAACCCTACTACTTCTCTGTCTATGGCTGACGGTCGTTCGACCCAGACAAACGCAGAGTATGTACATGTAGTTTCATCAGGAGCATTTCTCTCCGGTCCCGCAGGTACCCGGGGGTCATTTGGGACCCAGGACCTTTACTGAGAGGCCTACACTGTCTGTAGATTCAATCCCGGTCTCTGAGGACCCCAAGTCGGGCTCAGGGGACTCATGGTCAGCCTCAGCAGTCAGCGCCTCCTCACCTCAACCCCACCCTCGCACACACACACACCTTCCCCTGATGACACGCCATCAGCCTCTGCCAGCCCCAAGCAGAGCCCGCGTGGCGCGTGCCCACGCCGGCCTCGGTTTCTGGCTGTGCCCAATGCCACTTTCTTTCATCCCGACTGAGCTTGCGTGTTAAAGGGACTATCCCACCTTTAACCCGCGCCGGGCCGGTGCTCTGAGATTCCGCGCCGGGCCGGGGGGGGGGGGGTCTGAACACCCCCTTCTAACTCGGCTCCTGGGCCACGTAGCGACACGCGGTAAGCGGCAATCGAAAGAACGTCCAAAATAAGGACGAAAACACTTCGGTCATTTTTTGGGTCAGGTCAAAGGTCAGGTCACCAGAGGTCACCAAAGGTCAAATGTCCACTATTTCAACATTTTGGAAACTGCCAACGGCTATCTCGGGAACCGATAGAGCTACAGCGCCGCAGAAAAGCGCATTCGATAGCCCTTTTACAGACCTTTCTGAGTAATGTTCTCAGATTTGACCTCAGGTCAACGGTTTAGCCTCCAGGGGGCAAAAACTCCAAAAATAACCGTTTTTACGAAAAACGTTTTTTCGGCAATAACTTTTGACTCAAAAGAGTCAAGACATTACTTTTGCCACCATCGTGTTCCTCTCGTCGAGACGCGTCGAATGAACTATAATTTGACCTTGAAAGGTCAACTTGAAAATTTGACCTCAGGTCAAGGTCATGACCTGACCGGAAAAGGTCATGTTGCATATCAGTCGATCCGCAACGTCGAGCCGAACACATCTAAGGCGTTTTCAGCGCTCTAGCGCGTCTCTATCAGAAGTTATTAGCGAAAAACTGTTAGATTCTGTTCGTGACCTGAGATGACCTCGGGGACATAACGAGGGGTCACAGTTTCCATTTTCCGGTTCAGTGTGTCCATTTTACCTACATCTCGATGTTTGAGAGTGTCTAGAATAACGTTCGTGCAAAACAGACGCTTTTCAATTTTCTCCCATTGACTTATAATGGGGGCATTCCACGTCAAATCGAACAAAAATCGGCTGTTTTGCCCCTTACCATCAGCGATTTCATTATAAATTTGTGAGCGAGTTCCTGTGTCGCCCCGGACATTACATTGATGTTTTTTGCACATTCTGACCACAGGTCTTCTAAATATAGGGCATCAAATTTTTACAAAATGTTGCATCTTTATATTTTTGAACGACCATAACTTTGGTTGTACTTGTTTGATTTGAATGAAATAAACTTTACTGTTTAGGTAATTTCTTAAGCATTTGTTCAGAATTGCATCGACTTAAATATATGACCTTGAAATTTGCTTAACTCTGTTCTTAAGCACAAAAATTGAAATAGCAAAAAACACGCCACCTTCGATTTGGCTCATTTTCATATATTTTATTGCCTACCATAATCTTAACAACCTGTGAAAAAATTAGAGTGGGCCATTCATAAGTTTTGAAGAAAATGGCACATATGCAAACGTATGTTAGCACGCGCAGTGGAGGGGGAAGAGTGAATTTCGCCCCACCCCTCCTGTTTTTCGCCAATATCTCATAATATTGATGCGAAATTACTTATGGCTACCTGGCCAGAATTGAATTGCACATCTCATCGTGCAAGCAATAAGAAAATCGGTTCACAACTGTTCTAGTAATAGCGGTGTAAAGTGAACATCCTGTCGCCGCGGCGACGCGGAGACTCGGCAGCCGGCGCCGACCGCTACGCGCCGCCTGAATTGTAGACTGTGCCGGGACGGAACGGAACGGTTCCGTCTTTACATCGCGCTCCTTACCGCTGATTACGTTCGATTCGCGTCAAATTTTGTGAGAAGACTAAGAAATGTACAGGCAATCTTATGGTGAAAGAATTCTGAAAATAGGTTGGTAAACAATTGAAATATGAACGTGTAAACACAAAATTGTGACTGCTGCGTTTCCCGCTTCGGCCGATCCCGCCTCAGCCGGCGACATGTTACTCTTAGCAGGACTCTAACTGCCATATTTATTATCGGATTAACTAGAAATTCATACATAGAAATCCATACATACTCAAAAATGTATGTTCTTTCGTATAGTGAAGATCAAAGGACGTGAAGATATCGTTGCGTGATAATGTTTTCGTTGAATTTATTTCATGATGCATTTCCACACGGCTCAAAATTCACCGCAAAATACCGTTTGCCTGAGACACTTTTACAATGGAACGTGAATGCTTGACTACGATGACTATGCATTTCCATTCTCGCAGAGTTTGGGATATCACTAATCAGCAATCATTCATTTCAGAAAGTGTACACAAGCAAGCATGTCTTGACTCTGTCTTTCAAGGTCACGCGCGGTTGCGTGATGTTGATGCATGAAAACGGCGTTTGCCGCGAAAGTTATGAATGGCCCACTCCAATTTTTTCACAGATGGTTAGGAACATTGTGACGGACATAATATGTAAAAATTACTCAAATCGAAGGTGGCGTGTTTTTTCCTATTTAAATTTTTCTGTTTTAATTCAAGGTCAAATGCATTTCAAGGTCACTTCAATTTAATTTTATAATTAAAAATCAAAGCCTTATCAATTGCCTACAAGACCCTGTTAATATCATTTTGATACCAGAAAAGGAACCAGAGTTATAAGCATTTAAAAAAATGATGTGTGGCATTTTTGGCTATATTCGATGACCTATATCTCGGCGATACGTTATCAAATTTCGAAAATATTATACGTAACTCAGTTTTGAACCATGCCCAGTCTGCCTACAAATTTTCAGAAAAATCGAAGGGGATGACGGATTTCGGTGTTTGATTTGACGTGGAATGCCCCAAATTTGGAGAGGTCGCAAAATTGACCTGACCTTAGGTCACCGATATCAAAATTCCGAGATATACATTTTATAGATATTGTTGCTCTAATCAATCGCTGAAAGTTTCAAGGCAATCGATCAATCGGTGTAGCTATGACGAGCATTCTTATTTTTTCTGAGGTGAGGTCACTTTGCGTGACCTGGTGATCTGACCTAAGGTGACCTGGGTCTGAAATTTTCACAACATGTGCGGAAACGATGCACGAACAGGTGTGCCAAAAACGGCGGCGCTCCGCGCCGCCGTTTTTTAGATATCTGCGAAAAACCACAGGGGGGGGGGGGGTGTTCAAACACCCCCCGGCCCGGCGCGGGTTAACATGGGGTTTGAGTTGAGATAGCCAAGTTTGCGGCGAGGTTCAGAAACCACTATCTATCTAGGTTGCAACCCCCGCGGCCTCTTGGTGTTGAAGAAATTCGTTCCCTTCATTTGAAAATGGGCCTTGTACAAGGCCCTATCTTCAACATGGAGCGACCGTTAGTGTGACGTCACCTCGTTTAGTCATTCTGATTTAAATGGGTCTGTTCGTTGAAAAATCGCTTAAAACTTGGTCTGAACTTTGTTGTGGTGCCTACCGAGTAAAAAGAATCAGCTTCATGACAGTAATGTGGCCTGGGGAAGGAGGTAATTTTGGGCTGTGACGTCACATATTTGAAAGTTTGTGTTAGGAATATGGGAAGCCTAAGATGCTTAATGAAAAATAAATGCCGGAACCGTGTTCCTGGTCATCCAATCTATAAAGTCGGGCACAATTTAACTGGTTTTAACAACATTGTAGAAGGTGGGATAGTCCTTTTAAGGTATGACTTGCCTGAGACAAAATATCATTGATATATTGTCGTGGATTTTCCCCTGGAGTTGACAGAACGAGCTCAAAGACCATAAAGGCCGGAACTCGCTGTAGCTCTTATTCGTGTTTTACGGGTCGCTAAGGTAAAACGTTTACCAACGTAACGCTAAGGTATGCTTTCGGCCCCTGATCGAGGTAGAGCTTCGCGGAAAAGCGAGGATGCTGCCCGTGATGAGAGAA